GGATGGTGTAGTGGTGAAGTGCGCTGCTCCCCGGTAAGGACAACAGCGCGTGTTCGTTCCCCACTGCATACACCTGTGGTCCGGAGTTTTGCAAATATCTCAGCACTTCATACGAGTTATATTTCACAACATACCCTGCCATTAAGAAGAAAAAGGCAGTAAGTAAAAGAGTTAAGATACTGATAGCTTTATTTTTTATATTATTGGTATTAATACGCATATGTTCTAGATGAAAGGCTATCCAAACACTGACATTTTTTTCAAAGATGAAACCTTGTCTAAAACACGTACACTGAAGCATCGATTCGCTTGGGCGCTGATGCTCTGGGCAGTCGTTGAAGGGAAGGTTAGTTGCTAAATTTACTTTTGTTTATTAATATGGCCGATTTCCACATACATTATGCAAATGCAGCATTTCTTTTATTACAATTCGCTGTCACTTGTCATTCACAAAAGTCTTGGAAAGTCTTCCAGTTTTTGCAAGGGTTCAGCTACCACATGAATTTGCCTTTCAACAATGTCATTGAATGTTGATGGAGAAAACTTTTCGTTGAAATCTGAGAGAGCTTTGCGACATTATTCTGAGATCTACACCAAAGTAGTCGCGGTCTTTCTATGTTGAGCTCTTTGCAAGGAAATCTGGTTTCATTTTGCTTAGAACAGAAAGTTGGTGAGAATGGTTGGCTCCAGACAACGCTAACCAAGCGATCGTGTGTGTGCCATCTGCGGACTGAAGTTTTGCAAGTATTTCAGCACTATGTTTACTTTTTAATTTTTGCCTGATACAATTTTACTGCAGGGTATTTGCGAAATGCAAATACAACGATGCTGAGATATTTGCAAAACTCCGGAGCGCAGTTACCTGCGGTGGGGTACGAACACGCTATGATCCTTTCTTTCCGGGGGGTAACCCGTTCACCACCACACCATGCGGGTTCTTTGTTTCACCTGTTTCTCAGTTAGTTCTATCGATCAATGCTATCAGCAATCACCCATCAACGGAATTGATCTGAGCCCCCAACGACATTGATCCCAGTTAAGCCGAGGATGTAGCTGAAATCACAATGTTTGCTTTTTATTTTTTGCCTGCTGCATTTTTTACAGCAGGCATTATGTGAAATACAACTACAACGATGCTGAGATAGCAGGTACCTCCGGTACGGAGTTTTGCAAATATCTCGGCATCGTTGTGGTAGTATCTCAGTATTGGTGTGGTTATATTTCACAGCGTGCACCGCGTTAAAAAAAAGTAGGCAGCGAATGAAAAGTGACTACATTGTCATTTACACAACAGTTTCAGCTCAGCTTGAGTGGGTTCAATGCAAATTTATGGGTCCCCGCCTCAATCATACTGACTGATGATTGCTAATAGCAAGCATAGGTTAAAACACTGCTCAGAGACAGGCGAAACGAAGGACCAGCATGGTGTAGTAGTGAAAGCGTTAGCCCGGAAAAGGTAGAAAAGAAAAGGGTTTCATCCACACTGCAAACACCAATGATTTGGTTTTTGCAAATATCTCAGCACCATTGTGATCATGTATACGTACGGCAGTATTGCTACTAGTTGCACTTCCCGTGCGCCTCGCCGCATTTACAACTGATTTCACTATCCAAAATCAGGCTGAGTAGACAAATGTGCCATAACCATCGTTCACGGTTTTAGTCTCACTGCTTTCCTTCCAGCGGTGTACCCTCACCGTGGCTGAGAGGTGTTCCTGTGTGTCGGGCAGCGATGTAAAGCGGAGGCATTTATCCCTCTCCCCTCATAGTAGTACCATGAGGACTGAAGGAGAGGTTAGATTGTTGGGGTCGAACCAGATTTGTGCTTTCTAACAGACTGCATCGTTAATCACTCCGATATCTTCACTCGGTGACATGTACACTCGAGATTTAATAAAGTGGAATAAATGGTGCATAGCTCAGGGGTTGAACAAGGCCGAACACTTTATTCTTAGACTCTTCTTTTAGTTTATTCAGAATCAGCGGTCAAAAACTCGAATGCATTGCTGTTTAAGTATCGAGAGCTGAAATACTTCCGACTATAGGAAGTGGAATATCCGATCTTAAGTTAAAAAACTATAAATGCCTAGTAAATGTAGTGCCGAAGATAGCTGTCTTTAGAGGTGCACTACAAAACATGCGTATTTGCTGCTTCAACCTCGTCCGAACCAAGCAAACCATCTGACTGAGATTTACGATGTGGTTTCACCTGTATCAACTGCCGTCTCTTTGATCTTCTAGTGACTCGAGTGAGCGCCAGTAAAAATTCTGTGAAAGTGGAAGTGAGACAGAGCGGTCTTTTGTACTCTCGCGATACTTCAATGAGCCTGTTATGTGTGGATGTGGTCCATCGCATTAAATCCTTTTCGAAACCCTGCTTGCTCACATGACTGTGCTTCGTCCAGTGTTCTACCACGTCTGTTTAGGACAACTCAAGTGAAAGTTTGTAGTCAACAGATAGCAAACAGATTGTGCAGTATCCTACCTTATTATTTACTGCCTACCCTTTCTAATCGCAGGCTATATTGCGAAATATAACTTTAATAATGCTGAGATATTTGCAAAACTCCGAATCGCAGGTGTCTGCGGTGGGCAACGAACTATTGTCTTTTCCGAGGAGTAACGAGTTCACCACCACACCATGCAGGTCCTTCGTTTCGTCTGTCTCTCAGCTAGTTATATCGATCTTTTGCCGTCAGTAATCACCCGTCAGGGTCATTGAAGATTGTGCAGTAGTTGCCGATATCGTGTAAGTCACCCATCTTGCACAATAGCACGGTCATGCTGGTCTTCCACTGAGTAGTGACCTTGCATTTACGCAGGTGACGTGTGGACAGCCGAGCCAATGTGTTTATGAGGACTGGCGGAAAGTTCTTCAGGTGTTCAGATCATGCCCTGTCCCGACCTGGTGTTGCTCGATTTTTCACCGACAAAATAGTATGTCGGATTTTAGAAGGAAGACTGGTGACATATCTATGCTCCTTTATTTCCTTTAACGGGAGGTGGACGTGGTTTTCGAAGAGATCTGAATGGTATTCGTGAGTGATTTTCTCCATTGTCTTTCTGGACACTATAACTGTTCCGCCTGGACGTCGGAGTACAATCATCTTGGCTTCATAATTGGGAAAGCTTTTGTGGGCTTTGCGAAAGCTATTACCGGCCTTTGCGCTTTGACCATTGCTGCTGCTCTTCTCTTTAAGATCTTCTATTATCGCCTGTCTTCATTGTTTTACAAGTTCGGACGCGAGTTCACGGTTGCCTGCAGCTCGTGCGGTTCCACGCTGGCGTATCAGCACGAGAGTTTCTGGAGACAGAGGTCTCTTGGTGACTTTCGAACTCTCAGCTTTCATAGCGCTAACGTGAAGATGTTGCATGAACTGATCGTAATCCTTGTCGGTAACATCGATATCTTTTCAATAGGCGACTATTTAGTTGAATAAGTCTCAATTTATAGTGGTTTTGGACTCGTTTTTTGAATTTAGCGCTTTTTCTCCTTTCTGCGAGAAATGGAATCTTGCACGAAGGAGGCGGTCTGATCTTGTGTATCATTTTGGGGCAACAGTAACATCGGTTAGGCAAATCCTTCTATTTACTATGATGTGGTCTACTTCGTTATGGTAATCATTAAAAAACTCCTACGTTCAGCCCTAAAGGTGGGGCTTCTGGAATTGCTAGTTTTACCTTGAATGGTCTCGGCCGTTATGATGAACTCAGACAGCCGCTCACCCTGCTTTCCGATCTAAACCTACTCTGATATTTCATTTTAATCCATTTTGAGTTCGAATTTGCCCTTTTTTTCTTGTACCGCCGCTCTCTCTTTGTATGAGCGTGGTGTTTGGTTACAGAGGTGTTTTCCTGGGTAGATTGCGGTCAACTACACCATTCCAGGCTCTGATCAACGCGACATCTGCCGAAACGTCAGCTTGTAAAAAATAAAAGTAGGACCTCATGTTTGCTGAACAAGCATACAAAGAATTTTTCCGTTATTGTCAAGGTTAATAAAAAGTTGTTCATGAAGAAAGTCACTTTAAAATGCCTTTTTTTAATTGGAGCTCGTCAGCCAGCCCTTAATGTGTTATGAGCCTAGACGCCGCCGATTATCATTGTAGTGGAGAAAAGGGATAGAGCGTTCGGCGTTAATAAATAATCTTCTTGAAATAATAAATAATAAAAGAGTCTTGAAATAAATCGAACTTGCCCATTTCAAACTTTTTTGGAGTTTCCACAGAATTCGTAAATCATGCCAGTTAAGGTGCACAGTAACTCAACAGTATACGACTCCACATCCGGTAACACCGGAGCAAGTGAGGCCTACATGTGCTCGCTGATCGGACTTCCTTACATTGCCGTTGTGAGTATTTATACACAGAAATAAATAGTATTTTGTCAAAAGTAACTTTTTTTCACCAGTACTGAGCTTTGCAATTTTAGATGTTAAAAGCGAATTTTCCTCAAATTTTCCTCTGTGAGTTCAAGCTCGATCGTAATGCAACAGAGACGGCTCGAAATGTTAATGAGCTTTGGGGTGAAGGTAGTGCTGAATTTCGACCTCGAAGATAAGGAAGCTGCATACGTTCCAATAAACTTTACGACGGTGAATTGAAGACACTGATGGAATCAAACACGCGAACAACTGCTCGTGAGCTTGCAAAACAACCTGGCGTAAGAACAGGAACAATTTCCAATTACATGAATCCCATAGGAAATGCAAAAAACTCGGCAAGTGGGTGCCGCAAGAAGTTAACGATAATCGAAAAAATCGCTGTTTGGAAGTGTCGTCTGCTCTTATTCTGCGCAACAAAAACGACCATTTTTCTTGAACGAATTGTGACGTGCGACAAGAAGTGGATTTTGTGCAGCAACCGGTGACGTTCAGCTCAATGCTTGGATTGCGGTCAGGCCCCACAGCACTTCTCAAAGCCGAAAGTGCACCAGAAAAGGTTGTAGTGACTGTTTGGTGGTCTGTAGCCTGGCTCGTTCATTACAGCTTTTTGAATCCGAGAGAAAATACTACCAACAATAACTTCCACGTCCGACTTTCTATTAACCTCGGCATTGATTGAATAATTCTTTCTACTTCTGTTCAGCAAACACGAGGTGCTATTTTATTGCTTTATTTACGCACAAGCTGACGTTTCGGCGGATTTCGTCTTCCTCAGTGCCTGGAAAGGTCAAGTTGACAGCAATCTGTTCAGCCAAACACCTCCATAACGAAACCAAGCAAACGCTAAACCAAGATTTCAATCACATTTAGCATAGCTCTGCACACTCACCGCTTTCTATGAGTCTTGCGATGAGTGCAGAGCTGTGTTAAATGTGATTGAAATTTTGGTTTAGCGTTCTCTCTGTTTGGTTATGGAGATGTTTGGCCGAATAGATTGCTGTCAACTTGACCTTTCCTGGCTGTGGAGAAGACGAAATCCGCCGAAACGTCAGCTTGCACGTAAATAAAGAAATAAAATAGCACCTCGCGTTTGCTGAACAGAAGTAAAAAAACTATCAATGATACTAGTGGCGATCGAACTTCTCGCAATCTTTTGATAGGCTCATATTAAATTTGCTTCTATTCTCTACTTTTTTGCTTCTGTCTCTTGCTGTTCTTCGCTGTTATTTTGGTTGTTCTTTTCTGCTCTTTTTCCTTTCATTCTCTTTCCATACAATCCAACACAAACTCAAACGACAAACCTCGGCATAGATAGTTGATATATTTATTTATATGATCTTATAAACTGATCTTCCTAAGCTGATGCGAGGTAGGTACAGGTCTTCGTTGGTCGTTGGCTGACGTTTCGGCGATTTCGTTTCCTCAGGGCCGTGCTGTTACGAGTGGGACTGGCAACAACGACAACGATAACGAAAACCTATACCAACCTCTTATGAGCTAAAGAATATCCGTTTATAAGATCAGATCATATAAGATCATATAAATAAATAAATCCAGCATTAGTTTTACGATTTTTTAGGTCGCTAAAGATCTCGAGGAGGAGAAGGTGCACCAGATTACCAGCAATGGTGGAAAAATAATGAAGGTAGATATTTAAAAAGCGTTTACCACACTTTTCCATAAACTGTACGATTGTACAGTAATTGATTCGGATCGTTTACAGGTGGATGTCTCCTTGAGAAATTATCATGCACAAGAGGAAGCGAAAAAAAATCGAGGTTTTTTCATCAACCAATTTGGTAATGCAGCAGAATCGGAGGAAATACATGAGAGTCAGTTGGACGTATTAGACTTCGAGGAAAAGCTAAATGTTCCCTTGTGCTACTTCAAGTGGTTAAACATCGAAGAGCTAGACCGAAAACCTTTTATCGATTTTATTGAACATTCATATCAGTGGGAAAGGAAAAACTTCTAAAAATTTAGAGTTCGAACACTCGCGAGGAATGCATGTTCATTTCCTGAGTATGAAAACGATATTGCGAACTCAATTCAATTCATCTTCCTATTGCTGCTTCGTTTCTCGGTTTACCTCTACGTCTCTCCCTCTTCTTGCTTCCGTGCAGCTGCCTATCTCTTCTTCTCTCTATCTCCTTGTTTAAATTTCCATGTTTGCATCTGCGATAAAGAGAGATTTAGTGAAATCCAGGTGGCGATTTCGATTTCGAGAGCACAAACATGTACCACGAAATCGTCAGCGATCTGAAGAAAAACAACACTCAAAAGAAGAAGTATCCTGACTACTTCGTACACAGTTCTGGAACAGGTTTCTTGAATAGTTTTTTTTCATGCAATTGACTATTTTCATATAAAATGAGCATCCTGAGGGGGTGGGTAGCGCAACGATCTTTCATCACGAACACGGTGTTGGTCAGACTCCATCCAAAGCTCACCAAAGCCTCTCATCTCACCAGGGTTGAATTATTTACCAGACTTGCCTGAAGAAGGCGAAACCACTGAAAGGTCGTCTATTGTATACGAACAAATGCTCTAATAACAATGTTATCTCTTTATTTTCTGCCTATTACAATTTTTTACCGCGGATTATTATGTGTGATTCAACTACAGTAATGCTCAGATATTTGCAAAACTCCGGACCGCAGGTGTTTACGGTGGGGAACGAAAGCGTTATTACCCTTTCTGGGGCCAACATGTTCACCACCACACCATGCGAGTTCTTCGTTTCGCCCGTCTCAATCCTGTTGACGAGTAATTGCTGCTGGCGTGACCGATAGAACCAGCTAAGAGACAGGCCAAACGAAGGACCTGCATGGTGTGGAGGTGAACGCGTTAGACCACGGAAAGGGTAATAGCTCTAATAACATTCTTGCCTTGGCACATCGAGAAAACAGTGAATCACTCACTGGTCAATGCCAAGGTTAGAAGAAAGTCGGCTATGGTTTCTCTGTGGGCGGTTCAGACTCTGCGATTAATGTGGGAAGAAACTAGTCCGGCTATCATAGGATTTCAAATAGAATAGACTCTAGCAGTATCCAACGACATCCAAAAAATATAGCAATCCGTAAGCAGCAGCCGAACGTAGATTTGGTGTAGATGTAACAAAAATCTTGAACACTTTGGTGGATAATGGTTGCGGAAAAACTAATCGAACGCAAGTGCTGAGATTCGCGCAGTAAGTGTGGGGGCGGGTCGTGTTTGAAAAGGTAGACAGCTCGGGCAGCGCATTAAAAGTAAGCCATATCGGCAGCTGCATTTTCCTCATTTATCCCAATAAAGATTAACGCGTGAATCAATCCTTTAGGGATATACCGCAGACTCGTCCGCATTAAGCCTCGTAAAAGAGATTCAAGGCACATTTGGTGTATACAATGAGTGCTTGGCCATCTCTTAAGTATTCCTGTCCATCTGCTCCTGCGACACACACGTAGCTCCCCGCGCCCGTGGCTCACCAAGGTCTTCCATCCCTCCGGAGTCGGCAACTTGATGCCAGACTTGTCTGCGAGGATAGCAGCACTGGCTCGATACATCGGTGCGCCACAGGGAGTCATTGTCAAGGCCAACTATATATTCAATCACCTCCAACGATGCTGAATTAAATTGAATTGCATGGCGCATCCCTTAAGGATTAATCAACGCTAAAAGCTTTATCCTTCATTAATCCTTTTATCCATCTGCATCGACCTAAAAATTATTTTCCGATCTCGATGGGAAAGAGTTTTACCTTTGCTGGGTGCGTGGCTGAACCAACAATGACGCTTGTATTGCACCTGTAGCCACTGTGGTACATGCAGGACAGTTTTTGCTCATAAAATCGGAGATTGTTGACGTAAAAAGAAATATGAAGGAAAAACTTTATATCGAATTTTTGTGTGAAGTAATAGAGCTCCACACAACAGGTGGAACGATCACATCTGTTGGACGATACACGAAGCGCTACGATCTGCCGACAAAAATTGTTCTCGCTGACTCCGAATACTCACTGTTTTACGACTACGTCTTATCAAATATGTAAGTTATCAATTAGGTTGGTTTCACCCGCTTTAATTCGATGAAACTGTAACCGGAACTGAAAGAGAAAGCATACACAACAGCCTAAGATCAGATGTTTCTCTGAAGTGCGTGGCCATTCGAAAATCACGAAAGTCTTAACGCTTTTGCATTTCGTTGAATGCATTTGATGGGTACAAAGAAAATAACTCAAAGCCGCTGAAAATAGGATGCATAACAATCTGATAAAAGCAACCTATCTCACAATTAGCTCGGTAGTCTCTCTGTTGTTACCTGTTTGTCGAAAACAGTAAAAAGAGGGCACCACATCAAAAGCTGAGTTTCTCATTGTTCAGTAAGCGTTACCAAATGAACAGGTCTTATGGGCGACGTGGACGACGGACTTTAGTGGCAACCACTATATTTATTCAACGAATAATTAAATTTCAAGTGCTATCATGACACCGTTACTTCTTTTACCAATGGTGGCGCAGCCTCTATTTCAAGAGTGTTTCTAAAACATCCTTTATAGCTATCCTTTTTTTCAAATTAACAGTCAGAAGGTGTTCTCGGTCTTAGGCTTATTCTCCTCCGTTTTTGCTCAGTGATTGCATTTAAAACATATTTGATTAATAAAACAACGGTGACTTCGTAGAAACCGTAACACAAAGAAATTCCAGGAAGAGATTTTTGTAGGTTCACAAATGCATCTGGAACGGAATATTGGGTGAAACCTGGAATAGCAGGAATTGGCTACGGCTATAATGTAAAGCCGGTGATATACGGAGAAACGACAAGGTTTGGGATGTTTTCTGACAATTTTGAACGTCAAGATCAAATCAGCGCATACAGAGATGACGTGATAGATTGAGCGAAATCAACCTTTCGAAAACGTGCACGCCAAGATTGGCTGGTGCTGATGAATACTGTGTACTGCTTTATTACACAGCTCTAGTTCCTATTCTCACTATACCTTTGTAGTTATTAGTTATCTGAACGTACTTCTGAGCATGTTCAAGAGTAGACAGTAGATTATGTCATCGAACAAACAGGCTAAGAATTTAACCATGCCGCCATTCGGACGATATTTAATGCGCATTACAAATTCGGAGTAATACAGTAAAATATTGGAAGTGGACAACTAATTTTAGCCTGGTATTTTAGCTTACAACGGAGCGTCATCGATGAAGTGGTAAAAATGCCTGATATCGCTTCAACAGCTGCAATGCATGTGCTCAGAGAACGAGGAATTGATGGAGGAGCGTCCACCGGTTTAAACTTTCTTGTTTCTCTCTACAAAGCCTACCAAGAAAAGTATATCTTCTCACTTATGAGTTCTATTTTCATGTTTATGTAATGGAAGAAAAAACTGCTTTGGGCCACTTAACGTCAAAATTTTAGTTACAGTGGAGTCTTACAACTCCGCAGACTGTCCCATATTACTTGAGTGTAGGTGTCGGCTATACATTGTTCAATTTCTGATTGACGGTTTGTAGAGACAATAAGAATTTAAATGGTCGATTGACGATCGTCACAGTGATTTGTGATCCAGGCGAGTTCTACAATAGCACCTACTTCAATGCAACATGGATCGAAGAGGTGTTCGCTAAAAGAGGAGGCATGAAAGGTCTCAATTGCTGGAAAAAAGTAGGTCTACAGCCATTTCTAAATGCTAAAAAATGTGTCAAAGCTATTTGCCACTAATAAGCACCCACATCTTGCCAGTCATTTCGAAATATTAAAAGATAAAACTGTCAGTTGTTAGCCGCCTCGTAGTTGGTGGGGTGTCCATGGATGTTGGGATACGATTTGCAGCTTGAGTCATTTATTTCGAGTGTCGGCTAAGTTAAAAACTAGGGAGTTCACCACTAAACGTTGGCTCCCAAAATCGACCTACTATTAATCTTGGCATTAGATTATAAATCTGTCGTTCTCTTTTTTTTTAAAGCAATCGCGAGGTTGTTATTCAGCACACGTTTACTTCCTTACAAATATAACGCATACAACACAACGGTAGCTGACGTTTCGGCAGTATCGTCTTGTTCAGAGCCTGGAAGTGCAAGCTGACACGTAAATTTTCTAAGTCAAAGGCTTCAACAGCACGAACAGAAAGATAAAAATCTGAACGATAATTACACGGTCACCGGATTCTCGAAAAACCCACCTCTTTCTACCCACCTTCCACCGGGGAAGAACAGCCGCTTAGAGTCGCATATGGTTGATTACCGCAAAACCCACATCAAAAATCACCGAGGTTTAGGGAAGGTCGGTTTCGAAATATTACTACGCTTTGTGCTAGCTGATAATACACTGACCTCTGCACGGTGTGCGCAATGATGTATGTCCGGAAGAAATACAAGTTGTTACCACCGGACATTGTCATTATATATCCACCATCAGCATCGTGTATAAAAGGGCATCACTGAGTGAGGATGCCTCATTCGAGAAGATGGCTCACTGAGGAAGATCTGGCTCGACACGAAGGCGAAGACGCAACGTCGAGACGAACAACAAGCATGGACCATCGACTCGGATCACCGGCTCTGAGGAAGACGAAGACGTCGAAACGTTAGCCGAAAATAAATATATTTATCAACCTCGTGCGAGCTTATCAAGAAAGAATACATATTGATTAGTCACACCGAGGTTTAGGGAAGGTCGGTTTCGAAATATGCGTTATATTTGTAAGGAAGTAAACGTGTGCTGAATAACAACCTCGCGATTCCTATAAAAAAGAATGACTAATCGTTAGGTATAAAAAATTTATTTCGGGATATATCACCATTCTTCTGCCACAGAACGTAAAATTTTCTCTATTTCCGCTGTTCCATGAATTTGCCAAGCTGATACTGCACCCTCCCGTGGATTGGTCTCCAAAAGCGGGTAGAAATTAGTGGAAGGAAAGAGATCATTTATAAGCGGTCATACTGCCAGTTATTGTCGATAGACAGAATAGCACATCCACGCAGTGCCGATAAAATTCAGAATTCAAATTTGGGGTAAAGCTGAAGGACCGTTAATCAATACCACGAGAGTAGAGAAGACCGCTTCGTCTGACTCTTACAGACATGAAAAGCTCTTGACCTATATGAGCTACAAGTGGTCGAAGAAGCTGTGGAAGATTAGGCCCTCCCTGTTCAATAAACACGGACTATTTCCATGAATTGTACAATATTTCACGATCGGAATTTTACCACTCCACTGGATTCGAATCCATACCATTACGAACACCCTCATAGGTAGAAGGGACAACTTTGGACAATCGACTCGAAAAAATCAGGCTCTGAAAAAGGCGATGGCGCCGAAACAGACAAAGATCACCATACTACTTACCGCCCTTGTCGGGGACACGGAATGTAATATAATCGATTTCGGCAGTGAAATACACGGCTCCAATTCTGGACGCCAAATTGCTTTGAAGACGAAACGCAATAGATTCTTAAAGATTAAGGATATCAGAACGAAATAGAGGCGGAGTGTTTAGCGATGCAGTCCCATCAGAAATCAAAGCGCTGGTTCGAAACCACTCTAACGCTCCGCCTCAATCCACATGGGAACGCCCTAGCTCGGCTATCTCTTTGATTGGAAAAAAATTGGCACAAGCAGCATTCGAAGACATTTAAAATAAAACGAAAATCTTCAACGGGCAGCCGAATCCAGAAGTCAAATTTGGAGGAACATCGTGGATGATGGATGCGAGGGAGCGAACCGAATGCGAGAAGTGCTGGGATCTGGCACAGTAGACTTGAAGACGGGTCATATAAAATAAAAAATAGTAACCATGAAAAGAAGGCACTAGGTGGGATATCATAGAGGTCCTGGTAAAGAAGGCAAGGAATTCTTTTCTCCGGACAAACTCTTCATATGCTAAGATTTTTTTTTGCTAGGAGCTGTATCTCGAAAAGTTGTACATTAAATAAGAACGAAAGGCGCTTGTGGTTGTCGGAAGTACTATAGAAAACGGAATGCTACAAATAACCTCTGTTACACGAAAAGGGTACTATGGACTTCCGAACTAAGTTCTCGGTACAACAGAGGTGCAGCAGCATACACCAAGAAGTGTGGTTTGCTCCTGCCACGTAATCCATTCTAACTGCAACAAATGGATAGGAGCTTCTAGCAACAGATTTTACGAGATGGGAAGCTTATTGCCTTAAAACCAGTAAATCCGCCATCAAACTTTCTGACAATATCGCCAATTATGACATAACCTTTTCCTTCGAGTGGCTGTAACGTATTAGTACTGTATTGCTCACGAGAAGCACAAATTGAAGCTCTTCTATCACTCACTTGAATCACCCAGTAATAAAAAATTTGCAGGTAACACATGTGATAAATTTGCTTTGAGAGCTCCTCAGATTGAGTAAATAAGTCTTGAGGTTATGGACGTAATAGTTCGCTCCACATGCACGCGGCAAAAAATTTCGGAGAACCATGCTAGGAGAAAGTACGCAGGAAACGATCGGCTAGCGTCCAACAACTGAATATCACAATGAATCGGAAAGAGGCGAAATTGAAAAGCTGCTTGTAAGCATTTTACTCTTTGCAGCCTTCGGATTCCAAGCAAATACACTGGGCGACACTGGACGGGCTTCATTGATAGGTAGTCAAATCACTTAACACTTAACCGGGGAGAAATGGTGTGGTTGATGTGAATGTGTTTCCTACTTTCTGCCTCACTAACATCGAAAACTAATACAGCGCTATAGTTCAAATTGTAGGTAATCAACAGCGGAATCGAAAATGGCACTGATTTTCTCAGAAAAGGACTTGCTCAATGCTGAACGGCACTTCGACGAATGATTTGCATCGATTTTGTTAAATTTCACGCAGTGCATATCAGAATAAATATCTTATTTGTTATGACGAAGGCTTAAAAAACCTTATCTAAAGTGTGACAAGGCCTTTTTATTTCCTCTAACAAAGCGTTTCTTTTAAACTCCGTATTTCAACGAAAAAAGCTCTAAAAGCTCTCGGCGTTGATCAGTGCCTGTGGGGTGCGCCATGCATTCGGCTTCATTAAGTATCGTTGGTGGTCAGTGAATGAATAGCTGGCCTTTACAATGACTCGCAGTGGCCTACCGATGCATCGAGCCAGTGCTGCTATCCTCCCAGACAAATCTGGTACCACTTTGCCGACCACTCCAACCACTGTACCACACGCACCCTTCAACGGAAGTACTATCAAAAAAACAACTTCAACGATACTGAGATATTTGCAAAACTCCGGACTGCAGGTAAAACGATTAAGATTGTGATTATAACTAAAGCCTCTGCTGAACTGGGTTCGTTGCCGATTTGGGCTCTCCAGAACAAACCCGCTGACGGGTGATTGCTGACGGCAAAAGATCGATAGAAATAGGTGAGAGACAGGCGAAACGAAGGACCCTCACAGTGTGGTGGTGAAGGCGTTACTCTCCGGAAAGGGCAATAGCGCGTTCGTTCCCCGCCGCAGACACCTGCGGTCCGGAGTTTTGCAAATATCTCAGCATCGTTGAAGTTATATTTCGCATTATACTCTGCTATTGAAAATAGTAGGCAGTAAGTAAAAAGATTAAGATTATCAAAAAACACTTGTATTCCTCAGACACTGCTCGTGCGCATGTATATTTTGAAAATTACTGTCCGCTGTTGCCAGGTTCTTATCCTCTGCCGGACAGAGGAAACTAAAAATCAAAGAAGTAGAAACTTCACACGAGCAAAATTTGTCACACCCCCATAAATCATTTTATGTGTAATCAACGACTTCGCTAGCTTAGGAATCAGCAGGAAAATATCTTGTTTTGCTGCATGATTTGATGAGCAGATTTACAACTTCAGTGAAAACTAAAACCTAAATTTTAGTCGTAGCAAAGAGATCTGAAAAGATTTCAAATTATAGTCGCGGTCCTAGCAAAGGAATCAACACGGTATCTTCGTCTAATTTTTCGATCTAATAGTTGTCAGACTCATTTATCATTCTATGCAAACGTCATGAATCAAACGTGGTTTCACTTTTTAAAATATGGACAGCTTTGATGGGAAAACTGAGACTGAGAAACAAGGAAGTAATTTGTTCTGTAAGTTCTGACGAAGCTGAGCTCATTGAAACGCTATCCTGTGGTAATTAAAACGTTTGATGCATCTTGTGTCAGCTCAGTAGAAGCACAGCAACTTTCTACTTAGCGCCGTGGTTAGCACAACATTTAAAAACTTTTTGGCCGTTACACCTTCCTAATAATCAAGTTAAGGTATTAAATAAACCGACTAAATATGTCTTCTTCTACATCTGTTCACTTCCATGTTATTTATTTTCTACTGTTCTAGCCCCATATTACCATGTAATTTTTCACCTTACACGACCCGTCATCACATTCACTGTGCGGATTCCAGTACTACGTGCATTCAATTCGTTTACTCCCATTCATCGTTGCTCTTCGAACATTTCGCGTGTTGTTCAATTGCTACTTGAGCATTTTGCCCGCTTTATGAATTTCGTAGAAACTGATCCAGTAAGTTTTCCTTGCCATCTTGGAGATAGCCGGGCAAAGGTGTTCCCACGTTGATTAGTGGAGAGCTTTGGGGCGGGGATCAAATTCGCGTTCTCCGGTGTTTTTCCGAACAACTCATCCGCGACTATACTACCCGTTACCGCCACTCGTTCGCTTAATATTGAAATACTTACTATTGCGTTTGCGTGGTTAAATTTCCGTTTTCCGGGAAGTTATGGGCGATTTAAGGCAACGCAGGGCCTCTGTCCGGCCTCTGATCTCAGATCGCGATGCGACTACTGTCGCGCCCCAAAATTTCTCAGTTTTTCGATTTTTTTCCGCTTAAACGGGGTTTTTGAGCAGTTTCCTTGCGCGTCCACCCCCTACCCAGACCACACCCCAGGTGAAGAGCTTTGAAGCGGGACCGTTGCTTCCTGATCGACTGCGTCACTTTCCACTGTGCTATCTCCAACTCATGTAATTAACTCTGTTATGCGCGATTGTACATTTTCTTAAACTTTCCTTGTACTGAAACATAAGAAATGTGTTTGGGAAAATTTAACTGATGAATGATATCAATCTTAGGTATTGCTGTAACGATTTGAACACATGTAGCAATATCTATTTCTCTATCATTATTGTCACTTCTCTTATTAGAGATGACAATCCACATTCATCAAGATTAATCCAATTAGCTGTAGTTACCGCCTAACGAAACTGTGCGAATTCGAACGCACAATCTCTTTGAGCAAATGGCAGTGTGAAAACGGGCGCGTGGTTGTCGTCCTATTAGAACGGATTGGAGATCTAAGCGATTCTGGCGACACCACGAACAAAAGCGCCTTTCGGAAGGTTAGTCGGTGCCATCGGATCACTTTCATCAGCAGCTAGCTGGAACAAATTTGACTCAATCATAAATTTATCAATATTTTAAAAATATCCCAGAAATTAATTTCAAATAATTGTTTGAGCTTACCTTACGGCGAACATTACTAGCCTTTTGCTCCACCTTCCGTCCGTTTATGACGATAATACCACAGAGAATAATATCGTCGTCCGGTCTTGAATAGACGTACCTACAAACCATAGCAATAAAAATCATCTACATGGAACAAAATGAGAGTTTTGCCAACTTTTGGCTAAACCACTTTGTCAGAGGAATTTTCGAATGGTTGAGTTTGTAACAAGTAATAAACTATAAAAAAAAAGTGCAATGAATTCGGGATTGCTCAGTCTATGAGTATTGTGCGTTTTACTTCATCAAGAATCATAAAAGTGATTGAGTGTATATCTGGCCTATGTATTGACTTGCGGTGGCCCACCAATGTATCGAGTCATTGTTGCAATCCTCCCAGACCAGTCTGGTACCAATTTCCCGATCTAGGAGTGATGGAAAGGGTTGGTGAACTCGAGTGTGGGCTCGAACCAAAGACTACATGTGTTTTGCAGGACACCTCTAAACGCTGCGCTACACGCACCCTGTAATAAACATAAGCTATCACAGATCTTTTACCGCCACTCACCTGCATCTATCCAAACTACCGTCTTCTTCAGCCTGTTTGTACTTTTCACAAGAATTATTTACGCATAGCGTTGTTAACAGAATTATGATAGGTAGAAGGATAAGTGCGATGAGAACAATGAACCCTTAAAATCAGTACGATTTTCACCACATTGCATTCTTTTCTTGGAATTCTAAACGCGATAGAGTTAAACTTCAACGTGTATAGATGAAGCAGACTTGTTTTAATTTTACGCTTTAGAAGTGGGCTTTTCATCTATACAACGATCGATAAGTTATATTTCTAATACGGCGCATTAGTTAGTGTGAAAAATGGCTTGGTAATCGATTCCAAGGTTTGGATTCGTCAATCACCTTCGTTAAGCTGACACCGGCAGACGACTCCGATAGCACTGTAGATAGCATAGATGGCCAGTAATACAGAACCGGCAAGAATTCCAAGCGACAGAGCTGCCAATAGTAACATCGCCACCCATTTGAGCAGCAGCAGTCCAAATATAATGATACGCGATCCGTACCATTTCAGATAAGTTCGAGCTGGTCCCTAAACCTTGGACATCAACCGATTATTTTAATTTGTGCTCCCCAAGTACTTGGCAACAAGCTGCTTCAGTTTTGTTTTTCATGGCTGATACTACGGTCTACACATATCCACATATGATCAACAACTTAAAGTTTACCAATGTCAGGACCAACGTCAGGACTTCATTGAGGATCTTCTTTGGCAAATATCTAAGAATCAAGGACAAAAGCTTTTTTTCCTAATCGTGTTTTTACTTTTACATATGATTTCAGTTTTCAGCATATGTAAACATGAGCTCTGAAGGTGAAGGACAGAATGAAAAAATAAAGTTAACCACAACGTTGCTGAGATATTTGCAAAACTCTGGACCGCAGGTGTCTACGGTGGTCCCCACCATAGACACCTGCGGTCCAGAGTTTTGCAAATATCACAGCAACGTTGTGGTTGTACTTCGCTCAGTAACCTGCCATGAAAATTATAGAAAGGCAGAAAACAAAACGTTAAACATAATAAAGTTAACGTTTAGAATTGACCCCGTAATGGTTCTGATCACTCTCCGTAGTTTCGTACAGTCTTTGCAGTAAAGTTCTTTGAGCATCATCTGCTTTCAAACCTGCGCTGAAAAACAAAAAATAACATAAGAAATTCTGGAAGAGAAGGAAGAGAAGGCTACTCACGGTTTATCGCTGTAAAGGCGTTGAATTTCTGCTGTCTCACATCTCATTTGAGATTCCACTGGTGTCCGTACGGATGCTTGGGAATGTCTGGACATCGCACGTGATTTGCTCCCCGCAAAAAATAACTCCAGCAGCTGCAAACTCACAGCTTTTTTTGAAATTACCTACTGTAACGTGCTTAGTTTCTGCTTCAATGACCCGTTCTTTAACACCTAAGTTCGGATACGAGTGGGATTCCACTCGTATACAATGATGCGATTGGACCACTGCAGCGTTGATATCAACTCACGAAATTGGCTCGAAAATAGTGGGCAAGTAGGTACGCCAGCAAGACAGATTTAGACGCTAAACTTTATGGGTTAATTGTGAATTACATTTCTGGCGAAACATAAAACTTCAATAGCTTCAAATCTATGTCGTTATTTGGCCACTGTTATGTTGCTTATAATTGGCGAAATTCGCTTGTCTTTGCCTTTAGAAAACCAAATCTTAACGCTTTCGAACGTCTTCTTCGAACATTGCATTGTTAAGCTTGTTTTGATCTGAAGACGCAAAATATGACATAACATTAAATATTTAAAAAAGAACACTGTGAAAAGTTGCTGGAAACGCTCCTTCTATTACGATGCTGTGATACAAGCGAAATTCGGAACGTCATATGATCGTGTCGTTTTCTTGTTCAGCAATCGCGAGGTTTTTAAACAGCACACATTTACTTCCATAAAAACACACACAATACAATACAACGCTAGCTGACGTTTCGGCAGTATCGCCTTCTTCAGAGCCTGGAAGGGTATGCTGATATACAAT